GACTAACAGGAAAAGACATATTTTGGATATATTAACATAACCCTGGATTCTACTAATCAGAAGTCTAGGAATACCATCAGGCAGCATCTGAGGTCAAACAGAGGTTTCTCTGCTTTACTTCAGCCCACCTACTTAATGTTTCCACCAATATATTTTAAAAGCACCTTGATTATGACTTCTTTTGTTTTGTTAATCTACAAACTACATGAGGAGAGATTCCTGAAAAGAAGCAGTATGTGCAGAGACTGGTTGGGGCTGATTAAAACTTCAGTACTAGAGAGATCGGGATGTTGTACGTCCAGAGGCTAATTACCTATCTTGGGCTAGTTCTAGCCCTCCAGAACAGCCATTCCTTCCCCACCTATGTGTCTTAATTAACATTTTGTTACTAACAGATAGAAACCTTTTGGGATCTATTAACTTAGCAAATCACTAGCTTCCACCAGCTCAAAAGCTAAAAATGTCATCAGCTATCATCTTAGGTCTATAGAAAAGTTTTCCCCATCTTGTTGTAATTGCCTCTCTGATGTACCCATAATTTATTTTAAACTTGCCTTGACATAACTTTCTTTGTTCTATAAAACTATGAAAATGCTTCCACACTAGAACAAAGAATTGGGGTAATCTAAATCTGTTTTCCTGGGCCATAGTCACTTAAAATAGCTCCAGAATAAAGGATCTCTTATTCCTTTTCAGATAAGAGCTGTAGTTTTTGCATTGACATCAAATGTTGCCATCTTGGATCATGGAATTTGGGGTAACCTAAATCTGTGTTCTCTGGTCTTGGCCATTCATGTTTGGCTCCAGAGTAAACTATCTCTTTTCTCCTTTGAGGTGAGAGTTGTGTTTACTGTGTGGACAAGAGCACAACTTGCTACCTATTTTTCCACAACTCAGACTTGAATAAATGATCTCCAGTAATCTGTTTCCTGGGTGGTTTTTAAAGAAGCAGTGGTGGTAGCAGTGCCTATGGTATAGAAGAATGACGTGTACTTTGGCAGCATTACACAGAAAGAATAGAGGGATGAAACCATGCACTAAAGAAAGCTGATGAAAGATATGGGATTCACGAAGCCATAAAATTCAACCAATTCTTCATCTAGATACACCAAAGTTATAAAATCAAATTCCACCAGCATAATAGCAGCCATGAAAGAGACACTAACTAAAAGGAACCACAAGGGGAAAGTGTTTCAACAATAAAGTTCCAGATCTACAAAATAAAAAAAAAAAGTTTTTCAGGCTGAAGGATGATAGTTTTATATAAAATTGATAGAGCCACAGTAAGGAGGGATCTATTCTAAAAGAGCGGTGTATGGGTATATATACATTTTTTCTTTTTTGCTGAACTTTTCTTTTGTTTGTTTTTTTCGAGACAAGGTTTCTTCTCTGTGTAGCTTTGCGCCTTTCCTGGAACTCACTCTGTAGCCCAGGCTGGCCTCGAACTCACAGAGATCCTAGCCTGGCTCTGCCTCCCAAGTGCTAGGATTAAAGGCATGTACCACCACTGCTCAATAGGGTATATTTCAATTTACAGTATTCAACGATTACAGTATTCAATTGATTACAGAAACAAGACAAAAATATTTTTATTTTCTGTATGCTCTGAGGGTACATGAAACACATGAAGTAAAACAGAGGCCAGTCAGTGTGAGGAGAAGGCCCCAGAGTGACCTAAGGGACAAATCTCTATTGGAATCCCAGTGTTGGTCAGGCCAAGTTTCCACTAACTAGTGTGTATGGTGATATTTTATTTGTATTCAAATGTTATTTGTATGTTAATAACTAAAGTTGCCCAGGTGTCAGAGCTATTAGCAAGCCATAGGAAAGCAGGGCAGTGGTGGCGTTCGTTTGTTATCCCAGCACTTGGTTAGAAGAGCTAGGTAAGTTTCTGTGTGTTTAGGGATACAGCCAGTATTGGATACACATGCCTTTAATCTCAATACCAATCATAGAAAACCTGGAGATCTATGCAGACAGGCCGTGACGAGGTGGTCATGTGGTTGGGTTTACAACCAATGAGAAGGCAAAACAGAAACACTATAAAAAGACAGACACACAAGAAGTGGTTCTGGTTCGGAGAGGTAGGACCACCGCAGGAGGAAGGGTAAGGTTTTAGCTCTTAGCTCTGACCTCTTGGCTTTCTTCTTTGCATTGGTTCTGTGTTTCTTATTTAATACGACCATTGGTTACATCTACAAGTGTGTTCAGTCAAAGTAGGCACAAATTCTAAGAGGATATGCACGTGGGTGAAACTTCTGTAAGTAGTGGGGTTTAGAAGAGCCATACAGTATCTTTTACCTAGCTGTTCCATAGAAAAGTGGTCACCAGGGGGTGGTTGTATGAGTCAGATATCTGGAACAAGCACAACAAAGAAGCTGGGGGAAAGCAGAACAAGAATTTCCTTCAAGGACGACTAATTTCTACTCCTGGTATGAGAAAGCTATCAAGTAGTTCCACTTATCCATAGGAGACACAACCAAAACCATCACAGAAGTCTGAAATTTCAGCTAGTACCAGGCCCTAAGATATTATTTAATTTATGCTATTACTCTCTCTAGTGCTCGCCCTAGCCATGGTCCTCTTACTATTTTCATGCTTTCTGCACTTTCTTCAGGTTATATATTCACATCTGAGTTTAATTCATTCATGGGGAATATAGTTTCATTTTCAGGAAGATAGATGGAACTGGGCATCATCTTGTTAAAGGAAATAAGCCAGACTCAAGAAGGCAAATATCA